AGTGACCCCGGGCCACTCTGGTAGCCTAGACTCAAAGGAAGAAATGAGACCATTCTTAATTTAAATGAGCTGAGGGGAGAATGCTAAACACAGAACGGCAATAGAAAAAAAAAAAAAAAAAAAGAACGGCAATTGGATGACAATGGGACTGGCTCTGCTAGACGAACACTCTGTAACAGTCTATACGTATCCGAAGCTGATAATAGTCCGGATGCACTCAAAATGTTCGAGTCCTCGAAATGCACTTGGTCCAGAAAGGCGTCCAAATGCACGTGGAGTGTTGAGTATGCGACCTGGGCCCAATGAACTCGACATTCACACTCAAGTGACTCCACTGATTCCAGGAGGAGGATCGCAAATACCATCTGATCACCAAGATGACACACAAAGCCCATTCAGTGACACACCCCAATTCCAGATTCTCGTACCAGCATTCTCGATCTACACAAGTCTTTCAAAAAAAGAAAAAGGAGGGGGTGGGTGGGGGAGGGGGAGGGGGCGGAAGGGAAAGAGGAAGAAAACTTTAAATCCATCTGTCTGAGAGAAGGATCGAAAATAACATCTGATCACCAATAGTGCAGAGAAATCCAATGACACACCTGAACTCAAGAACGAAATTTTTCTTTAATTTTTTTTTTTTCCCAAAAAAAACAGTCCGAGCTGATGCTAGGGCTGCTGATAGATCCGTATATTCTTCCTACTCTGAAATCATGCAAGCTCAGGGCATACTTTTCACACCGGATATATTTATTTCTCAGCGAAGAGTTTCTGGACGCAATTGCGGTCACGTACATCTTGGACTGTCCATAATTGCAGTCAAATACGTCCTAGGAAAACGTATCGTCGCCAGGATGACAGAGAAATTCAACTGAAGGACAAAATGAACTCAAGATTCTTTTTCAGTCCTCCTGCTTCTAAATGATACACACTCCGGCCTGATTTTTCACACCAGGGCTTTTTCAACAGACAATTTCTGCACTAGTGATTAGACTGCACAGTGCACGCAATGCCGGTCACGTACATCTAGGACTGGCCGTAATTGCGGTCAAATACGTCCCAGGAAAGTCAATAGTGGTGCAAGCTACGCTACGCTCTCTCAGTCTCTGCAGCAGAGCTCAAGAGAGAGCAATCAACATATGATGAATAGTATTGAATACCAGCCATAATTGCCCTTATATACGTCGCAGGAAAGTCCTACCATCTTCCCCCGAACATAACGCACCCTAAAAATGAATGCATACAAGCTATATTTCCGGCCAGATACAGGCAAAATGAGGGTGCGTTGTGTTCGGGGGAAGACGGTAGTAGGCTAGTACCTTCTTCACCCGAACAGAACGCTCGGTCATTATCACTGTATCTAGATTCTAGACTGAACATTACACCACATACAGGTATGAATACAAGCCATAATTGCCGTTATATACGTCCCAAGAAAGTCATACCTTCTTCACCCCAACAGGACAGCGCCAATACCAAGTACCGAGGTCCCAGCCTCCCAGGCAGAAACCATTGCCTTCGCCCGAATAGATCGCCGCCATCGCATTCAGCTCATCACACGTGACACGTCCCCTGATGATGGCTGTGTCCGCACTGTCCGGAAGCAGCGTACTTCTGAGCTCGAATGTATACATCTGACGAATAGCGTCAGATACACTCCTAATGAGGTGTGCGGGAAGAGAGAGAGAGAGAGAGAGAGAGAGAGAGAGAGAGAGAGAGAGAGAGAGAGAGAGAGAGAGAGAGAGAGAGAG